GCAGGAAAGGAGGTCGTTGATATGTAAGGGGAACAGTGTCGGAGCCAAGACCGATCCCCGCGTTGACGTTGTGGGATGAAGAGGAGAACCCGTCAATTACGACGGATATCTTGCGGCCAGAGATAAAGTCAGCCACCTATCTGAAAATCTTTTCTGGGAGGCCATAGCATGGAAGTTGGAAGACTGGATGAGTTTACTCCACAATTGCGTGACGTAGGCTAGGAGGTCCCCTGTGGATCGCTGGTGTCGGAAGCCATACTGCCTGTCGCTAATCAAGCTGAGACGTCCGAAGTAGTCCAGAAGCTCGCGATTTATGCACCTCTCCATCACCTTACTTATAACAGAAAGCATAGCTGGAGGCCTGTAATTGTAAGTCGGTCTTAGATCCTTTTTTTTGGGATGGGTTGGACATGAGAAATCGCTAATCGGGTGAATAGAAACGAAGCTACTGTAATGAGATGTTGTCGAGCATGGTTTCAAGAAGACCAATCGACGAGTTATAGGTACTGGACGTCAAAGACAGACTACAGAGCGACAAGACCGTTATTTAAGGCAACTAGCACTTGGAGATTGAATTTTCAACAGCAAGGGCAGCTGCAAACCAGTGGTTTGATGTTGTCGGAAGGGCAATCAAAATGAAGACAGTTTATCGACGAATAAGGTCTTTTGAACTGTTCTCATACCATCTCCATCTTGTACTACGTTTGACCCCACAACATCGACTGGTATGGAGTAGGAAGAGACTTGAATGGAATATGGGATGAAACTTAGTCGTGTTCGGCTATGAGTCCAGATTCTGTTTGTGAGGAGACGTCGTGAAAGACAATATTCCATCAAACGGCATATTCATCGAACTGTGGGTGTTATGGTATGGGGTGTCATTCTTTAAGGCAGCAGGTCACGATTAGTGCTCGTTCGAGGTAGCATGACTGCCCAGCGCTACATCCACGAAGTTGTACAACCACATCTACATACCTTTATGGAAACATTGCAAGATCCACTTTTCCAGCAGGGCAATTCTCGACCGCATGTCGCACGTGTTAGTTTAGACTTTCTAGAAGAGTCCGAAGTAAGTCCGCTTCAGTGGCCTCCTTGATCTCCAGACTTTTCCCCCATCGAACATGTGTGGGGCATGATGGGAAGAAGGTTGCACCCTCCACAAACGTTGGAGGCTCTACGAAACCAAATTCAGTTGGCCTGGGATATACAATATACCAAGAAAACATCAATGACCTAATCCAATCAATGCCGCGGCGACTCAACGAATATTTTAATCACTTTCTGTTTATCGGTAGACCCAAAACTTGTGAAAGTTTGCTGAAAATTACAGCACTCCTAGTCGTGTTACATTTTCTGTCATTTAGTATATTTACCCATCGGCAAACTGTTTTTGTTTCGCATATTGGTACAAATGAATCAGAGGTTCAAATTTTGGGTTTTTCTAGATTTTATGCTAGTGCCAATGTCGTTAGGGTGTATCCGTAACACTTCTTTTATAGAAAATGATGACTTTTTTGTGTGTTCTATATGCATCGAAGAGATTGTGACCTGTAGCTGGGACACTTTGTATTTGCCCGTCCTTACCATGAAACAAGCTTGTAGTACCCTTGTGTGGTCACAACATAAAATGATAGCCGATCGGCCTATCTAGGTTCGTACTGGCCTCAGGTCCCATCACCTAAAAAATCTGGGGTTCCGACATGTTGGACCCAGATTGGCCTACTTCTCTTGTACCCTGAAACGTGCACATGTAATAACTTCAACCACCTCTATTCCATACATGTGTTATGGTGACACAACTTCTACAATTTTGTATACTGATGCAGCCACATAGGCGGGTACATAAACACCTAGGCACCGCAACTACAATAAGGATTCTAAAGGTATCTTGCTAATTCGATTTTTGAACTGTCTAATCTTAGCAGAAGTGGGGAAGGCCTCCACAGAAAAATTATCTCACAGCTCCGACACCACCGCAAGAAAGGAGCAGTATCTGCCAGTTCTGGATGTACAAAGGTTGACAGACTTAGTTTGGAAGACAAGCCTGGCGGGTCCCTCTGTCAGGCTCAACGCGCGACAGCATGACAGAAGAGAGCTCTGAGGGGCAAAGCTCGCTGGCATAGTGGCTCAAGATGATCAGATCGTCGACCGCTCAACGGTGCAAAGGTGTCCCGAGACCGTCCGTTAGAGAAGTGTCATCGACCAGTCAGACAGCCCTCTTCTGAACAGAATGAGTGAAGAATATTCCAGCCTTCCTGAAGGAGAGGAAATATTATGAAAATCACCCAACTAACAATTATCACTCCTATTAGAGTTGCAAGAATGATTATACAGTATTCCTTACATAGCATTGTATACTGTAAGAACATTGGCAAAACCCTCTTAGAACAGCTATACAAGCGGAATGGGCACACCTAATAGGACACTTCAGTCATTTAAGATGTTGTTTAAGGGCTGCAGGTAACAGTTATACAACAAAAGTGTAAGCCTTTGAAGTTGAGTCATTAATTTTCAGATAATGATTGTAGAAGGAAGATAAACCAAAATATGTGTATAAAAATAAAAAAAAATTAAAAAAAAAATTTACCTTGTTTTATAAAGTATCCTCACGACAAGTATTTCAGTGCGGACCTGTATTTGATCGTGAGGTCCCCTGTGAGGTCTTAAGTCACCTGATTCACGAGCCCGTTGTACTACATTAACAAAGGCACGAGGGGTTGGTTGCACTCGATTGGGAAACCGATCCGCATAAACATTTGCCATTTTTTATTTCGTTTGAGCCACGCAACAGACACTATTCACACGCGTTACCGACTGACACTGACTGTATGTATAACTGAACTGAATGAAATAATTGTAAAAACATCGTTCCAAATTCTTTCGCTTTTTTGTTTCCGATGCGATGAACCGATAAGGCGGATTATATTTGTTGTTGCCAAACACGAGCACATGATATTATTATTGAGACAGGGCGGTACTCAAACTTCCAAAGCGCTATAACTTTGTTACTTTAATTTTACCAGAAAAATGGTAAAGGAAAAAAACATTTCTTTTGATCAGATCTACTCACTGTTAAAATAAATGACTCAACTTCGAAGTCACCCTGTATAACTAACACAATACAGTCATCTTGTTTACTTACATATCGGCCATTGTGAATTTCATACACAGGTATATGATAAACTTCTACACTATGATATAGGGCTATTGAATTACTTGCGCAGCAAATTTTATTGTGATTATCGTGCAAAGTAGTTACGCAATTTCTACGGGCTTCGTATTTGATTCATATTTTGACAATGATCAAAAGTATGTCTAGATTTTTAAGATGGATAACTGAACTTATCTGCTTTAAATCTTCCACAAATCCTATATTTAGACACAATTACACTAACGTTTATCACTTTATATCTGTAATTTCGAACTGAAACATAATTATTTAATATCAAATAGAGGAATAAATGTTTGCCCAATATGGCGGGTGGTTGTGTATAATCATGGCATCGTCCATGTTGTCTTTGGTTTATTAGAATATTTTGGTGTTGCCTGCAGGTGTTATACAACAATTTGACAAATGTCAGAAATTAAATACCGACAGAGTCGAATGATTTACCTAGAATTTGTACCAGATCTATATCTTCTGTTTGAACAGTTGATAAAGCCTTTTAAACCAATATCCATGCGTTATTTGTCTTAAAACATTGGTTATGGCATTTTGTCTAAAATATGACAGCAGAAAGTTAGGTTATGGTGAAGTTGTATACCAACATATTTAGCATTTGTACAGCCTTTAACAGTTACTAAACAACAGTTGTATAAGTGCTTCCGTTGTGAGCAATTTGTTTGCTAAGGTCCGTTTGTAGGGCGCGTTTATGGCCTCCTTGACTGTCATACTCCAATCTCTCCTTCAAAAATTTCTAGATTACACTTGTCCCGTGTCAGCGTCAGCGCTCTCCTATTGTGAAGATATGTTTTATTTTTAAATTGTAGGAAATTTCAGGCTGATAAAACATGATATAACTCAAAAGCAAGCACAATTTGATGGAAATAGATGTTTGTGACATAACCTCAAAATAGAGTGCTGACAAGGAGAAGTAGAAAACTATGACAATCAAGGAGGCCATACAGGCGCCCTGCAATTGTAGGGACGACTGACGATACGAGCCTAAAGTAGTAAATTTGCACAGCAAAACAACAAGGCTCGTGTTTCTTTTATAAACGTTACCATGGATGCCACAACACAACCATTTTGACTAACCGGCAAATATGCCGTATAAAATAGTTGTATGAACGTTTATGCAACAGTAAAAAATTTGTCCTATAAGGTGTTGTGTAACTATGCTACAAGAATATTTTAAACACCTCATTTTAGAGCAAATATGTTGCAGAACGCAAATTTGCATTCCACACAACGTTAAGCCAGCATTTTGGTGTTCAGGCAACAACAATAGAGAGTTTTTATGGCTGAACGGTTCTTTTACCGATAGCTTATAGCGTTACTTTGCTAGTTGGGCAAAGAGGCCATAAATGCCTCCTATAAATGTAGGAACGACGGTACGGCCCTAAGAATGCTGCTCTATTGCTGCAACAAATCGAACGCTCTCTGATTCCTCTCTTTCTCTCTCTCTCTCTCTCAACAGCACGTTAAATCCTGCCCTGCGAAGGGATAGGCTTCTTTTTTGTTTTATGTTACTTATCTGTTCCTTCATTATCCACTAGAGATCTATGAACGTGCTACAACTCTCTCAGTGTACCCAATTCACCGGTTTCCTTTCCGATTATGTGAAAATAAGCATACCATTGACATATAAATCAGTCCAGAACCCGGCAAACTATCGTCTACACGCCAAACCGCAGCCGTCTTCGAAAATCCCAAATTCAAACATGCATGACGTTTTTTGCCGGCAAACCGTGTTACACCAAATCAAATTCAATTAAATCTATAAATTGTTCGAATTCGCTGAAAGATATTTCAGTTTCGCGCTAAAACTCCGCTGAGAATGTACAGCCTCCCATTGTATGTCGGCTTCGGGTATTTTATCGTCACTGTTCTAGCGGACTACCCGGAAAAGCCTACCAGCTATGCTTACACCTACCGTGTGTTCGGGAAGAAACAGAAATACACCGCGAAAAGGGAGTATACCTTCAATAATGGATACGGCAAGATGGTGGTCTCCAATTTCAAATCACCCCCCGTAGTTACTTCTTACAGTACCTACATCAACCATCCAGCAGATGGCCCCCACGAAGAAGCCCACTTCAAACAAGAAGAAGAAGGAGCCTTCTTTGGAGATGACGATGAAGAGATCGAGAAGTTTTGGAAAATCTACGACGAAGAAGATGAAAGGAAAGAAAAGGAGCAAATAAAAATAGAACCTCTACATCACGAGGAACACGAAGAAAACAACTTTGAAAAATACTGGTTTGACGATGGTGACCAAGATGCTCCAGAAGATGAACACAAGCACGTTGAAGTTGAGGACTTTGACAGCAAGGAATATTATAGTGATTACTGGAAGGAGTTTGAAGATATAGATGAAGAGCCGTACTTCCAGTTTCCGGAGGAGACTGATTCTGACTTTTGGAATTATTTTTGGAATGATTTTGAGAGACAAGGTGGTGAATGGTGAATTGTGATTATGATTTGTGAAATTTGTTGTGTGTTAGCTTGTGGCGTGGAGATCGAAATGGATTACATTTATGTCGAGGTGTGGAAGGCATAGGAGGTAACTAAAAATTAATGTGATATTATTAGTAATTCAGTGAGTGATGTATTGAAATATTTCCAAGAAGTTATAAGATATTGGTTAAGGTTTGAGATTTCTCACTTGCTTACATAAAAAATACTCCAATAGTTCCAAAATATAAGATATTTTCACGCCTTACACTATCTTTGTGGAAGTACAGGCTTAATTTTCAGTATGTAAACAGTCGATAGTTCCGTTACTATAAAAGCTATTTAAGAAAGTAAGTCACCAAAACTATATGAACAAATGTACGGATCTTAGAAAATTAGATGCTCTTCCCCTGACGACTCATAAGTACGTCGCGACACAAACATGCATTTTTTAAATCTGACGCCCTATACATTTCAGTATATTCTGGAAGACCTCTTTTAAACAAAAAAATTAGTATAGCAGGTTTGGATCGATACTCAAATGTTACAGATTGTAAACCACTTTCGTCAAAGTAAGCTTCGTATAATTTAGTTTTTCGTTATTTAAACATTTTTCTAAATTTGTGCGTCGTCCTTACGGGGCATGCACTTTTTCTCAAAAAAAATACGTTTTGAAGCTGGAATACTAAATTTCTTAGTAATTTGCAGTTTTTCAAAAATTCAAAATAAACAAATACCACATAACCCGGGACAAAGGAATGCTTAGTGGAATTCAGTTGATGCTAGTACTGATCCTAGTCCCGATATTTTTGAGATCTTTCAAAATAGCGGAGCTATCGATCGATAACACACTGAAATCTTACTATCTATATTACCAAATCGATATATGGATCTGTCTGTTTTCAATCATCAAGATCTGTAAATTCTGCAACAATGCACTAAACGATGACGTCCCATAGACCACAGAGTACCGCTATTCAGAACGAAATGCCAGAATAAAAAACTGACTTATGTTAGGTGCGTCATCTCTTGTGAGGTGTATGTACGGCGGAAACCTAGGGTGTACGAGTTCTAATTTTTCCAAAAAAAAAATAAACAAGTAAATAACGTGTCTTAGTTGCAATTTGAAGGAACTGGATTATAAATAAAACGCGAATACAAGATTCAGTGGCAGGATCATGTTCTCCACTTTTCAATAACTCTACCTCATCTGCAGAAATATATCTTTCACAAACATGATTTTTAGATTCAATTGCTAATTTTTTAAGTTTGTTTTTGTCTGTCTGTCTGCTACTCATCATCGGATTATATCGTACGGTAATTCTTGGATTTGGTGCTGTAAAATTCTTATGACGTGATGACTGCATCCTTTGACGAAAAAATGCTTATTCAAAAGCAGGGTATGTTTATTTTACGATTTTTATATGTTTGAGCCATTCTCAAAATTATTTATTCAGAATTAATCATATATGAGAACAGTAACAGCATCTTAACTAAAAGTTCTTAATTGTATGAAATGGTCGAAGAGGATAAAGTTTGAATTTTTTTAAATTTCGAGCAGGCTTGAACTATTAGAGTGTCAGTGGACAAGCTCGTATGACACGGAACTGCCGAATATGTACAGAACATGAAATGAGGAAAGTATCCAGCTGCTAGTAGCGCCATCTAGCGTGAGGTGGATTATACTTTCATCTATGTCCATTTCAATTTATTTAACGCCCTCCACTGCTAGATCGCACGGATATTACGGATTTTGAAAAACGACATATTGACGGTTTTTTTGACGTTTCGTAGTTTTTTTGTGACAAAACGTAGATTTTTCTACAAGATGCCAACTGCGCACAAGCTATTGTACACTTGTGAAGAACTCGTTTTTAGCTGTACGTGTACGTGAAATGGACTATTTGCACACTAAAAACCAGCTAGTCTGCTAGATGACATTTTGTCGGCTTTTTTACGTTTTTTAGGCTTTTTACATCCTGCGGTTCTTCAAGACGTGCTAGCACTTGCATTTGGACAGCGCTTGAGTGCGGCTATTTGCACTAAATGTAGCAATCACTCAAGTCAATGACAGCATTTTGAAAGGATGTAAAATATTTGACGTATTGTCTGTTAAATTATGAGGCACTTATGTTTTATATTTGCTTCCTACCCCTACTGGCGAGGAAGTATTGTAATCGCGAAAAAATTTGAAAATAAGATATGCCTTTTGAATGTTATATGACATACCTACATCACGAAAAACTATGTCACTCATTTCCATTGTCTGTTTGTCTGTCGGTCTATCTGCTAATCTTTGGAACGCCTATAACTGCTCGAATTTCGTTGAAATTTGTCACACAAGGTTACTACTGTAGCAAGAAAGAGAAGGCCTTTGCATTTATCTAAAGTCACGGTGTGGTGTGCAATTTTCTTAGCTGGACTTATTGGTACTTGATTATTTGAGGAACATGAAGTCACAGTGAGAGTCAATTCGGACTGGTAGGTGAACATATTACAGGAATTGTTTTCCCACGGCTAGATCAGTTGGACTTAGGGGGAATTTGATTCCATCAAGACGGTGGAACAGCACACATTACAAGAGCATCGATCGCTGTTTTGAGGAAACAGTTTTTTGAAATCCTGTGATTACGTAAACCATCTAAGGACCTCACAAGATATGAAGACGACCAACAACCAGGAAGAAACTGCCAACATAACGCCTGCTATGCTGGCAAGAGTCATGGCAAACGCCAGAAATCGGTTTACTCAGTGAACGGAGAATTAGGGACGTCACCTATCTGACTTGATCTTCAAAACTATGGCATGCACCTACAAGATAAAAAACAAATCAGAATGTTCCGATTCATACAGTGGATTTTATTTTATTAAGAGTTGAGGAAACTATGCTGCTGCACCCTGTAAACGGTTACCTAGAAATCCATTGATACTGACGGAATGATCAGTGAATACTGAAGGTACAAACCACACTAAATACTGATCGAACAATGGCGCAATTCTGAGAATTTTTCTTTAGAAATTTGGTGTTTAAATTTAAATTTGTCGTAATAAGAGGAAACGTACTTGAAGATGTGGACAAGCAACTCTTAGAATATCTGAAATGATTTAAACCTTTATATGAGCGTCTCAGTTTTTGATAGCATTTCAGCAAACAAACTGCTGAAAAAGGGACAAACTGCAGAAAATTGTTTGACATCCATTAACAATGAAAGGGAGAAAATCAAACCTAGTTTATTTATTTTCAGCGTTGCTTCCTCACTTTCTTACAGTTTTGCTCGCCACTCCACAATGTTTTTAGCCTTAGATACTCAAAGTCTGCCCCAAAAATATTAGTGTCTAGGTTTTGCTGCACTAAAAATAGCACACACTTCAGGTTAATCGCATTAGTGAAATTTTTGCATTTAAATATTCCGGAAAACTTATAGCACTTATGTGCAAAATCCACTCACTTTTTAATACAAACTTACTATTTTATATTAGAGCGCATTCTTATGGACCTTTCTACTTCAAGCCTATGATAAAACATACTGGGACAGAAAATATATAGATAAATAAATACCATTGTGCACACAATAGAAACAAAAGTTCAATTCTCATTACAAGTCTGTATTCGTTCGTTTCAACTCTTTTTATTTTTATTTATGTATTGATTCAAGGATTTCGGGCAAAATGCCAAATTTGCAAACCTCGATCTTTCAAAGGACAATCAAGTACTAAAATAAAAAGAAAAAGTATGATGAGCGATAATGGGAGGACACATAATGTGCTGAAATATTCAAATGCATTTATTTTATAGATGCGACCACTATAACATTTGAGTTATTTTCAGTGCCGGAAAACTATCTTATGTGATGTGTACGAAAATCAAAAGTTAGCGAAAAGTTGCTCAGCACTCTTTTTGTTCAGAATAATCCAAATAATCTAAAAACAACTTTGCCTAGAGCGAAAAAAATAATGACTTGAATTTTTTGTATAAGGACCGTTTAAATAAATTTGCACTTGGTTACCGCCTGGCAGCCTGTTGATTGTTGATGAGACATCGGACAAACGTGATAGTGAACAAAAATCGAGTTGAAATGTTTATCCTGTGCAGGCGAGGTCGCCGCTTCATCATCCTGCAGACTAGGTAGTTTTTAGGGTGCAAACAGTCATTCCACGTTTGCTCAACTACATGCATTGTTGGTTGCATATGTTTTGTGAAGCCGAGTAGTCTGTAGTTTTCATCTCTGAGAAGAAAGTTGGTTAAATAGCTAGATCGCATCTGGATAATTACGTGTATGGGTCGGCATATGTATAAAATCAGTGACATCTGCTGCGTGAGAAAATCATTAATGAATATGCTGCCAATGAAGTGTATTTGTTATATATTAGCTATACCCGAAGGGTTATTTATGTGTTGCCCTACCTGAGAACAGGTTATGTTCAAAGTTATAAATTACGTTTTTTACGTTTTTTCTGTTTTTAAAAACTTTTAAGAGAACTATTGGAAATCACCACCGCGCCCGCGTTGTGTGTAATGTATATGAACTGTAATTCTCTCTCACTTTTTAAATTCAGCGAATTTGCGTGAGTAATTTCCAGAATGGATAAGAAAGAGTGGATGCGCAACTAATCTCTAGCTTTGAATCTCAAGTAAGTATATTTGAGACAAGAATCCATTGGAATTATCATCAACACGTGTTATTAGCGCAAAACCTCACTACGCACCTATGCATTGCCGTTAGCTTCTAACTATAGTATACAACACACAGCTTAGACCTCCAGTAATTCCATCACTGAAGCAGATTTTGCATCACATCAGAGCCAAACATTGATAACTGAGGCCTCATGACATTTAGGCAACACGTACAACTAAAAAACGAGTTCTCAACGTGTCCACCAGCTAATGATAGGTTGACATCTTGTAAAAAAAGCTACATGATGTCACAAAAAAGCAACACAATATCAGAAAAAATCGACATAATGTCACATTTTAAGATATGTTATTTAGTTTGACTGCCAGATCAGCTGTTG